TGTAGGGTTGTTGGTCTGCTGCTGCTGCTGCTGCTGCTGCTGCTGCTGCTGCTGCTGCTGCTAGTTTATGAGATGCTCTGTTGACCTAAAAGGGCTGTGCCAAAGTTAGGCTTTGCCTTTGTGTCCTCTACGGAGACATGGCGCACTTTCTCTGGATCTTCTGCCTTTGTTTTGTGAGGTGCTCTTCACTCTGAATCCATCTGCCTGTGTATGGTGTTGTCTATTGGCCAGTTGGTAACATTGGTCAAAAAGGGATCTGTCGGAGATATATTGGTAATCATAATAAATACGATCTGATGTAACCCTTTGGGAGGAGTTGCCAAACTGAATACTTTTTGCTCTGCAAATTACCCTTTTGGAATCCTTGTCTAATAGCTACCCAACTGGGCTTCATTGTTTCGCTCTATCCAATGGGCAGGTATTTGTTATATCCGTTATCAGAGGGATAAGCCTATTTGTTTAAGAAGCAAGGAAGGCTCCGTGTTAGGAATGTTACTAATAGAGTCTCTGCTTCCAAAGCAAAACAGAAACCCCCGAATAGGCAATGGATTTGGGCAGATGGAAATCAAAAAGTAGGTTATAGATACGGAAGACCTTAAGGGGAGATCTACGTCCCATGCATATTATGAGAGCGAGCAGAAATTTGTGCTTACCTGGCTAATAAAGGGACACCTTTCTGTACTCCACCTAAAAGGGACAGTCTTGCTTGTAAGGAGCATTTCCTATCACCGAAGAATGCAAGAAGCTGCTGAACTGATCACTGAACCTTTTAGAAATGAAGTTTTACCTCTTTTTTTAGCCCCATCATTATTCAACCACAGTCAGTGAGTTTCATAAGAGAATCTGCGCATCGATCACTCTATTAATATCGGTGTTTCTTTCCAGATCTCCCTGACTTTTTCCATAGTCGTTGGTGTGATTGCATACCGGATAACCACAGCGGCCGCGCTCTCCATGAGCACCAATGGGTCAACCAAGTCCAACGTGCGAGTCACCGTGACAGCGACAGCCGTCATCATAAACCTCGTGGTGATTCTAATCCTGGACGAGATTTATGGAGTTGTTGCCAAAAAGTTGACAGAAATGGGTAATCTTACTTTTTTCTGAAGATAAGCAACTTATCATGAGTAAAAGTTTTTCTCCCACGAGTAGGACTTTTCATTCACCCGATCCTATTTGTGCCCCCATTTGCACTTGCTAAACTCTGAGATTCCTCAGATTTTTTTTTGCTCAATTTATGAGCTGCCTAATCACAAAAGCAACTGAACCTTCCCCAGTGAGAGCATCTGTGATGGTGGGTTGCTGGGGCTCCCTCTCCATACAACCACTCAAGATGTTCCAGGGCCTGTTCTAAGCCTCTCCATCTGTGCACAAAGCATGGCAGGCTTAGCCACAGCTGGGGGTCATCCTAGGACAGTGTTGTCCAAACCTGGCCACTTTAAGATGAGTGGACTTTAAAACCCACAATTACCCCACCAACCCCGTCCGGGGGGGGGTTTGGGTGGGTGAGTTGTTCCCCCCTTTAAACGGGACCAGGAT